AGGGCTCCACGGGAGAAAGACCTGGAAATCTGCTCCTGTAAGGATTACAGCCAAGAAAATCCTATGGGGCAGCTCTACTCTGTCACATGGGATCACAGTCAACCCAATGGCCTCCAACAACAACAGCACCTGGAATAGGGCCTGTACGCAGGGCTGCTCAGTAATATGTGAGGAATAAATGCATGAATGATTGGAAATCATCTTAGAAAGCTTTTTACTCATGTATGTACTTCGTAAACAAATAATTGTTGAGTAGTTACTATGCACCATGCCTCTGGCAGGTGCTTGGGACACAACAGATTAATGAAATAAACAAAATATTATAACCCTCATGCAGCTTATAGCTTGGTTGAAGGAAACAGAATAAAGTACCGTAGTCTGCTGATGCTACATGCTATGGAGAAAATATACAACAAAGAAGGGAAACAGGAAATCCTGAGGATGGGTGGGGATGGATAAAAGGTCCCTGCAGTTTTAAAGAGGTGGTCAGGGAAGAGTTCACTGGGGGGAGGGGTCATGTGAAGAAGTTTATCAAGCAGGTAAGCATGTGAGCCACGTTTTGTTGTTGTTGTTATGTGCCGTGGAGTTGGACCCAACTCATAGCGACCCCCCCCCCTTGGGTTTCCAAGGCAGTATCACTACGGAAGTAGATTGCCCAACCTTCCTTCCGAGGAATGGCTGGTTAGTTTGAACTGCCAGCCTTCTGGGTAGCAGTCAAGTGCATTAGGCACTACTCTATCAGAGCTACTGAGCCACATAGTTACTGAGGAACAGAGTGGTCCAGGCAGAAGGAAGAGCATGTGTGAAGGCCCTACGGCAGGAGTGTGACCGGTGTGCTTCCAAAACAGCAAGAAGGCCGGCATGACTGGTATAGGATGAGGCAGAGGGAAACTACCAGCTGAGGGGCTCAGACAGTGACCTATCTCGTTGGGCACACTAGACGACCAGTTAGAACTTCGGCTTTTATTCTGAGAAAGGTAGAAACCCACTGATGTTGAGCAGAGGGGTGCCAGCATATGACTTAGTTTTTTTAAGAAATCCCTCCTGCCCATTGTGAGATATATTATTGAGGGAAAAGGCAGATGCCAGGGGAGGAGACTACTACAAATCAGGGATGATGGTGCTTTGACACTGGTGGTGACGCCGATTGCTGTGCTGAGAACTGGAAGGATTCTGAATGTATTTTCAAAGTCAGGAAGATAGCACATAAAGAAGACTGAATGCAGAAACTAATACAAAGGCGAAAGCCAAGAAAGGCTCTAAATTTTTGACCTGAGCAACGGGAAGAAGGGAGTTGACACCACTAGGTGTTTCAGATATTCCCAGGAGACCTACCAAAAAAGACAACATATATTCCAGGAAACAAATAACCTGGAGAATGTGTAGAGAAGAACATGCATGCACATTTTAGACAAGTGATTCTGCGGTTGGAAATCTGAGTACAGATATATTTGAGTAATTCCGTGTTGGAGCTACTTCAAAAAAATAAAAAATCCCCACCTTGCTCTTTCTACAATGAAAGAAATGCTCTCTTGTTTTATGTAGAATATTTAGAAATCCAAATGTTCTAAATGAATGCAAGTTGTTTGAATGACTTAGATTGAAAGTTCAGAAATGTGTGACTCATTCCTTTGCTATCTTCTAAAATAACTCTGAGGAGCTCTGGTAGCATAGTGGCTAAGACACTTGCCTGCTAACCAGACGGCTGGCGGTTCAAACCCACCAGCCACTCCTCGGAAGGA